TAATAATAATCAGTGATAGCAAAAATAATGATAACGATAACGATGATGATAATGAAGATGTTAATAAAAGTAATAGTGACGATGACGATAATGACAATGATAGCGATAGTGATAGTGATAATGATTATGATAGTGATAGCGAGAGAATAATAATAAGTATGTATAATAATAATAGTGATAGCGAGATAATAGTAAATATATATAATAATAATAAGCAATAATAATCACTATTATTGTAGCTGATAAAAATTATTATTATTCATATATAAGAGCACGATTACTGCAAATATCTGTTAAGGTTTTTTTAAAAAAAATATTTGCTAAATACTTTTGTTATTTAAAAAAGCTTACTGTTTACTAAAAATTAGAAATAAATAGAAGTTTCTATTATATATAATTGTTGATTATTGAAATTAGTGTTTGGAATAAATGCTACCAAAAAATTATCATATGATTTTAGTGGAATACAATGATGAGAACCGCCGTACTTCTTCAAACGATGCCTGCGCCATAGCATGCACAGGTATGACATATTTTTCTTTTAATTCTGAATGTAAATTTGTATTAACAATTTTCAGATTACTAAATTTTTTCGACTTTCGATTAAAAATGATTAATATTTTTTATTTACAATTAATGCTATTTGAATCGTTTATGTGTAGTTGAGACGCTAAATAAAAGCACTTTCATGGATGAGAGAAATATGTCAATTTTTTTCTTTTCTTTTTATTTACATTATTGTTAAATTTTATTTTACTCATTAAAAATCCTTTCATTTGAAATGATTTTAAGTAGGGAAAAAAAGAGAAAATGAAAATGAAATCAGTTTGCATTTTTCGTTTGAAATAAACTTTAAGAAAAAGGAAGAGAAGAAATGAAAGCATGGAAAGTTTTTAGTTCATAATTGTTAAGCATTTTCAATGACTGCTGCCCGAAATAGACTGTTATCAAAATGAATAAATGATAAGGATGAAATATTTATCATATTATCATTTCATCATATATTATTCATCATTACATTCAAAAATTTGATAAAATAAAAGCAATTGGTTCTGCTTACCGTATTAAAAAAAAAGTATGAAATGTGTGCAAATAAATTTATTATTTGAGAAGAAAAATTACTTTAATTGCATAGTAAACAGTAATAATGAACTTTCAGTGCATTTAAGTAGTTATAAATGGAAATAAAAAAGTGTTAATTCTTTATTAACATTATCAAATGCGTAAAAGATGTTTAATGAAAATGTGTAAAAATTAAAATAATAGAATAAAGTTTAATTTTCAAACTTCATATAAAAATATAAATATGTTAATTAGCAATTCTTCAATAATTTCAATATGATGCATGATTCATTATTCTTGCAAACTGAATCTGACTAAAAGATTTGATTTGCTAATCATCTTTAGATTTATCGCTATCTAAAATAATTCTGGATCAAATAGTAACATTTATCACTGTTTACCGTAGTTTATATCCTGCTTACCTGAGCTTCATTCTCTATTCATTTCTGAGTATTTACCAATATCAAGACCTACTTAATGTTTTCAATTTGAAAGCATAATTAAATTGTGCAAGAAGAAATATGTTGTGGAAAATGAATTTAACATAAAAATTTTGTTTCAAAGTAAAGAAGATCACAACAACTTTTTTCTTATAAAAATAAATATGTTTAATTTTTACATTAAAAAAATTTGCAAATGTGACAGAAGAATGGTGAATTCATTTCACTCTGAAAATTGAAATGAATGCGGAGTATGAATGTATTTTGTGTAATATGCAATTAAATAAATTTTATATAACAAATAATTAAAAGTAAACAAATTTTTCTTGGTCAAGTAATTTTATCATTGTATAAATTATTTTTGGAAAATTTTTTCATTTTTACAGGTAATTAATTAATTAATACTGAAGTGGTAAAATAATCAATAGCTTTAGATGTATCATCGGAAGTGAAATATGACATTGGTCGCAGTTATGTGTTCGATGTAAAATCTCGAACAATTCTGAAAATTGGAGAAGAACGTGATACGAATGTGATACAAAGTGCGCAGGCGCATATATCAATTCATTCATCATGCGAATTTTCACTTAAAGTAAATTCATAAATACAATGTATTACTTAATTCTTAATATGCTTATAAATTTTAACCACATCAAGCATAAACAACACTATAATTTTGTGTATTTAAGTATTGCTAATTCATTTATGCTCAATTTCCTATTAATGAAAAAATTCGACAATTAAATCAATTCAGTCATTAAAAAAAATTCAACTTACCTTCTTACCACAATAGCGCCACATATTATTTTTAATTAAATGACATTTATATAGAAGCAATTATCATATTTAGTTACTTCTACGCTTGTATACGTCACATATGACGTATATGACGTAAATGTGCGCAGAAATAATTATATTAGTCAAGTTCTTAAAGAGAATTAATTTTGGAATTAAAATATGTAAGTTAAAAACTAAAATGAAAATATCATCAAATATTATTACTTTCTTTAAGTGATATAAAAATATTTAAAAGTGTTAAATGTACGTGATTTAGTTGACGCAAACGTCACTAAAAGGAATGGACGTTGGAAGTGATTGGAGTTCGATCCTTGAAAGATCATCACTTCGATTTGCATTTGATAATGGAGAAGTGAAAGCAATTTGTCCACATGACACTGATCCAATCTGGGCTATAAATATCAAACGTGCTATTCTATCTGCATTTCAAACCAAATACGGTTACTTTCATGCCTTTATTTTTGAACTTAAATTTTTCTATTTTTAATTTAATTCGTTTCTTTTCTTTTTCCATTTAATTTCATTCATTTTTATCGTATATTTCAAATTTAACCACTGTTACTTTTTTTTTAAAAAAAAATTAATTATGAAGAAGTATTCTTTGCACTTTTTTCTTGAATTTTAATTTGGAATTTTTTCTAAAATTGTAAAGATTCAGAAATTCAATACAATATGTTAATGATATACGAAAATATGGTAAACATAGCCTTGCACTATAAGCGTGCTTTCAACATCATTAGACCATGCGTTAATTTGAAATTGCAATGCTATATTTGCCATATTTTTTTCGCCCATAATTAATACATTATAGTCTTAAATTAAATGTTAATTAGCATTAGTTTAATTAGAAGGAACAAGAGAAACGGACATATCTGGCGATTGTCCAGTGAATATTGAGAGACGAAAAACAAATGGAGTATTAAATTTGAAAACAACGAAACAATTGAATGCATGCTATCGTGAGCATGATATTGCTGGAGTTCGAGCTATTCCATACAGAATGAAATCGGTTAAACTTATAGCTATTATTATTTCAAGATATCAATCATTCAATAGCCATTTAATTAAGCGGATTGGAAGATAAATATGATAGATGGAATAACTGTTATCTCAAGAACAGATCACTAAAATGATCATAGAATTCAGTTTTTCTTTTGCGATCAATACAGTAAATTTGATAGAAATTGAAAGTTGGAAACAATAAAAAATATCTATTTATATAATTTTGGAAAAAAAATCAAAATATAATAATTAAGATAAATATGATAGATGAAATAACTGTTTTTCTTTTTTAAAAAATATGATTTAAACTTTTAGAAGATACAAGTTTCACCGATGATGGAAACAAAACAAATATGTGAACGTCAAATTGCCCATTATAACCTTCAACAAGTAAGTTACATTAATTAATATCAATGCTTCATAGCTTCGTATATTTTTCATTACATCCTTGGTAAGTATTAAATGATAAAAAAATGATAAATTGATATAACTGATGATATTTGATCATGATTTAGACAGTGCCCTTGAATATTCAAACCATAATAAAAATGCTGCAAAAAAAAAAATCAAAAATTTATTTGCAATATTTTTTTTTAAAGCTCATTGATCCAATTTTTATTTAAATAATCTTAATGTCTTAATGTTATCAATGTTTCAAATCGAAATGATCCAAATTTTTCTATTTATTCATTATCCTTCCATTCATCTCTTATTTAACATTCGTCAAAATAATTTTTTAAATTCACATCTGCTAGGTATATCAATATAATTGATCGAATTGATTAATTAATTTATAATTAAATATTTCTTCTAGTGCTAATAATAATTGTGTAAAATATTAATCAACAAAGTTTATAGGTAACTTGCACCGAAGATTATCGTGTTATTTCACCATTTGGTGAAGGTAATCTTGGAATGTTGCATGTTGAACAAACATTAAGAGCTATTGGAATTGCAAATGCCGGATCACAAGAATTATTTAGCGAACGGAAATCAATCATTTTTGATCATAACGATGATAATTTTAATATGAAAAATTCACCTAACTATGCTAGACAAATTATCGATAAATTATGTCAATCAGATGATCGTGTTAGTCCAGATGTAAGTGTATATGCTATCCGATGATAATTTTCTACTTTTTACAATATATCTATATAATATCTTCTAGTATTAAGGAAACTATCACGAGTAATATATTTTTGTCAGGCAGCATATTATTTTGGTGATTTGGTTTCTAATCTTCGAAGATTATCGGTGGCGGAAATGTCATCAATTGCAAATTTACATTGTGATGCTTTTATTGATGCATTAGCAGCATGTGGTTCATATGAATGTCTTCAGCAACTTGCCAATTTAATCAATTCAGGATTAGCTTCAGAATCTCTCTATTCATCACTTGCTTTATTATCAAATCCAAAAAAAGGCATTATGGATTCTGTTGCAGCATTCATCGAAAAAGTTCCAATTCATGGTAAAAAATAAGAAATATTTTTTATCACGCTAAAGTAATAAATTCACGGCAGAATAATAACAATTATTAATTTATTAATATTCATTATTGGCTATAAAAATAATAATCATTATTAATTTATTAATATTCATCATTAGCTATAAATTATTAATATTTATTATCAACTATTTTTTTGCAAACATTTAAGTACAATTTAAAGAATTTTAAAATTGCAACTTAAATTTACACATATGAATGAAATTAATTGAAGTTTTAGAAGGATGAAGATGATAATTGTAATCAATTTTGATAACTTTTTTTCTAGGTTTATTGGCTATTTCATCATTGGTACAATCATACTGTATTGCTCATCCAATGTGTGCAACAGAATTACCTGTGCAACGTATTATACACAATATTTTATCAAAATTATCACCCGGTTGTAATGTTGGACAACAATTTGAAGAAATTAAAGTAAATGCTACAAAATGATATTATCAGTGAGCGTGATAAAAAAAAATCAGCAATTACTTTTAATAACAAAAAGAAATACAAATATTTGCAGAAAGCGGTGATAATTTTGAAATCAATTGGAAATATCGGTTATGAAGAGCATAGCTTATCAGCTATATTAGATTGTATTACAAATGATCGAATTTCAAATGAAATAAAAATTGCTGCTATCGATGCTTTACGTAGAAAACCATGTAGTCATCAACGAAATAGCAAAATCATTGAATTATTCCGAGATCAAACGGTTTTCAATGAATTAATTTTTTTCATGTGTATTTGATTATTTCATACATTATTTTCTTCCGTTAGTTAAGGAGTAAAAATTTGAATTTCATTTAACAAATCACCTATTTTTCATTTAATTCATCCATTAATTAGATTATTAGTTTTCAATTCATGTTGTAAATAAAAGATTGAAAGAAAAAAGAATTATCAGTGTTTTTGATAACAATTAAAAATGATTATTTTCGAATATCACATTTTTCTTATTTCCGATTTATGTTTTACTCTGTCATTAAATAATGTAAATCATGAAAGTGATATTTTTCCCATACAATAACTAATCGAATTTTAGAAGAAATAAATAACTAATTATTTGCAGGTAAATACTGAAGTACGAATAATATCATTTCGACAATTAATGGAATGTGCAAATGATGAAATACTGCAAATTATTATTGACCAATTACACAATGAAACTATTAATCAAGGTTGAAATAAATTTGAAAATTTTCTTAGAAGATAAAATTATGATTTTTTTTCACTTCATAATTATGCATAATGCATAATTATGAAATGTTAGCAATCCATTGTTAATTAATTGAGTTATACATGCCTAATAAGTATGATTTTCTGCAAAACATCTCTTCAGTAATACTTTATTGCAGTATTATAGCGGCATGGTATTAATATTAAAAATAATAATTACGAATCATGAATAACTGAAATTTATGCAAATTTATTTGCAGTTGGATCGTATGTTTGGTCATATTTGAATGCTAAACAGCGATCAACAAATCCAGGATTACATAATTTACAATATATCCTGAGGAAATTTCATATCCTACAACGCTATAATTTAGATATAAGTCGCTTTTCACGTTATCATGAATTAGGATATTTTGATAGAGAGGTGATAATTTTGATTTAAATTTAACCATTTTTTTTTCTTGTTTATAAAATTTCAACAAATTTTTTAAACAATTATTTGAAAGCAATACTTAAAAATTTTTCCGCCAAACGCTTATCAAAATAATTGTCCTGGTAATGCAATTTCTCACAATATGGTTAATTTTTAATTCCTTGAATTATAAAACTAATTGTTAACTATTTTATTTGCTGATTAGATTATTAGTGAAATCAAATTTTGTTAAAAGTGGGAAATTTTAATTTTACACTTAAAAGAATTATCAAAAAATAAGGGATCATTTGTTGCAAATGTATTCTTAAATAATGCCTTTTTTATTCCATTTAATTGCAACAAATTAAAACATTAGCAGTTTTACTTTGTTACAATTATATGGAATATTTTAGAATAACTATGGTGGCCACGTGGATACATCCATATTACTCGTACCAAACGGTTACATACCACGTGAAGTAGCATTCAATTTTACTGTTCATCTTTTCGGAAAAAGGTAATGAAACTTTACAACTTTACTAATCGAAAAAAAATTAGCTAAATTTGCTTTCATCAAGAGTTGAGAGATGAATTTTATTTCGTCTATATCAATTTTTGATTCGTTAAGAAATCTAAGAAGGCGAAAAACTGTATTTGATCAACTGATCATCGAGAAGATTCTATGCACATCGAGAAGATTCTGGTGGGAGAAAAAAAAAACGAAAATCTGAATTAAATGAGATGGATGGCGAATGTGACAACATAATTATACTTTATATTTGATTACATATTCAATAAAATAGTATTACTGTCATTTTGGAGCTTTTTTTTGGCAATTTGATTTGTTTTCTTTTTTTTTCTTTTTTGCTAAAAATTTATTAGAAAATTTATGCTTCCCAATTTTTGATATTATTCGTAATTTTAATGATACTATTCGTGTTTGCTTCTTTCCAGTATTAATATTTTGGAAATTGGTGCACAAACAAAAGGTTTAGAGGAAGCGGAAGAGGAATTATTTGGTCCTGATGGTTATATTAGCAATCCGAATGGACATGTTTTCCGAGAGAAAAGATTTCAATCACGATATCCCAAATTAAATCATTTGCAGGAATTATACAGAAGGAGAAAGGATAATGTTGAAAACCCAATGAGAATGACTTTTTACATTAGGGTAATTTATTAATGATGACTACTGTAGAATCACTGAGGATACTGTATTATTAGCGCAATACATTGAGAATACTGTATTCTACCATATATTATTAATATATTCAAAATGAATAGTCATTTAAATACTTTAGTATGTTTAGATGTTCGGAGATGATTTGTATTATTATGGCTTTCAAAAGGATCAACATCAATTTCTGGATGAAGTGAAAGAAAGTATTGAACTTGATAAAGTGCTAGCAAAATTAGTGCAGGAGAAAACAAAAAAGGTGAATAACATTCACTCATTCAGGTTAAAAAAAAATGCTAAAATTGTAAAATTTTTTTAAAATTAAATCAACAAACGATTTAGATCAAATAGTATAGGTTAAGATTATTGTAAGAAATTCGATAATACAATCTGAATATCTTACCATGATATCGGTAATGCAAATAAACTTTTTTAATTTTTCTCATTGAATAAATTTTAGTAATTGCTTCGTTCATGATTCTCGTTTATTTTATGTTATTTTTAATCTTAAATAAATTTTCCAAAATTATCAAATTATTTCAAATATTTAAAATTATTGAATAGATTTTTTTTTCTAATTTTTACATACATAATTATTTTTAGCTTTCGCGTTATATGCTTTTATTTGAATTATCGCAAACATTACCTACACTATCCGGATTATCACTTCAATTCTTAACAAATATATCACTTGCTACTAAAATGAATAGTAAATTGAGATTGAATCTCGTGGATTTGTTGCAGCGAAAAATTGATGCAAATGGTCTTGTAAGTAATACATACATTTACAATTTTATATTTTTTATAGGAGCTGCTTTCCTATCATATCTATTCTTTTTTTTTATTTTTACATTAAAAAATTTACATTTTCAGCTTGATTTACGTCCATCAATATCGATTGCAAGAGAAGGCGCAATACTTTTACGTGCAGGCTATGTAACATCTGGTGCTATGATGACATCAAGTTTGCATGCTGCAACGAGTATTGTACAGAATATAGAAATGAATGCGGGAAGAAAATTATCATTGAAAATTGACATTCCACATAAGGATCTTCTGATTACGAAGATACGGTAAATGTTTTACTGGTCAAAACCATTACTATGATTTTTGAAAAGAATTAGTTCATTAGAAATCATTGTGGTAATCTTATCAGAAATGATAGTTTTATTTTTTTTGTTGGTATAGCTTACATGAAATTTATGAATTCTTTTGGGAAAGCTTTGTTGTTAAAATAGCGCAAAAATTAAGCATAAATGCACACAGTATTAGCAGGTAATTTTTTCAGTAATACTATTACTAAAATTGAAAGTAATCGTCACCGACCATTCATCACTGGACGTCATATTCATGAAGCTGTGGAAAAGCATTACTGCTCCAGTGATACACTGGCAAAAATTCTCGGAATTCAAGCATGTCTCGATGTAATACCTTTTTATGGAAGTAATTTCATGATTCAGAGTATAATATTGCTGAAAAAAATTTTGTTTCATTTTTAGAAATTAAATTTAAATAAATTTTTTCAGCTTCATGCTAGTTTCCCAGTACTGGAAGGAAGTATTAAAGTGGAGAAAGTTGATCAAGGATTAAATAGCTATCAATTTCTTATTGAAAAAACCAATGGCGTAAGTTTTTTTTTTTCATTTTGAACAATGATGTATTTATTAATATGCGCATGAAATTGTCTTCATTCTACTGATTTATTAAATTCGGATTTCGATTCAGAATCTGTGAATCAGTTAACTCCGTATTATTATTATTAAAAAAATAGTTTTTTTTTTGTTTTTCAAATAGTATACGAGCTTATAATTTCAGAGAGGTGAACAAAAATTATTAATAATTATGGATACACCGGGATCAAGAATAAATCGAAAAATTGAAACTGATTTTGAAATTTCAATTCCGCGCAAAAAGTTTAAACTTGGCATTATTTCACCATTCAAAACGATAGTATTGGATGGTAATTTAAAACAAATGGAACAATTGGAAGATTATGCAACCAATCTTCAACTTATCGTGGATGACAAAGTTTACACGCTTGATGGTATACTGAAGGTGAGGAAAATTTTTTTTCCTTTATTTATATGTTTGTTCTTTTTTTTATTGTTATTAAAACTATTTATGATATATGTAATAGGTGAAAATCAATTCTTATATTATATTAATTAAATTACTAATCCATTTGAATAAAATTTCAATTGCAAACATCATTTTTTTTTAAGGCAACTAAAATAGATGAACGAAATTTGTATAAATTAAATGCAAAAAGTGTTGTTAACAGTTTGGCAGTAGCAGAAGTTATAGCAGAATTACAATATAGCACTACAAAACCGTATGGAATGATTGATTTTCATTTGGATAAAATCTTTAGCAAGCCAATTATATTCAAAAGTAAGCATTATATTTTCGGGATCTGTTATTAAATTATTCAAGATATTTGTCATAAAATGTATTAACATCGGCGTATTGCTGATAGAGAAAGGAAGAATTTTGAAAAATGTTGTCTTATTAATTTCGAAGGAATTTTAGCTAAATTAATGTGTTTAAAAGTAATCGATGATTAATATATAGTTTGTTTTGTTTATACAGTGTATTAATTATTTTATTCCGCATAAACATTCTCGACATTAAATTCGATCATGTTGAATTGCTGCTATAAATGTGTCATCTAATTCAGATAGCAATATATTACAACTTTTAATCGTGCAAAAAGTATGATTAATTTAAAATATAATATAATTTTGTTTTTAGCATTGATAAATCCAGCAGCTCCAAATTATGAAGGTAAATTGGAATATTCCGGACCCGATTTCAACGGAAAATTAGATACTTCAATTATTCATCAAGGAATGATTAATTTGAAAGGTACCATAAGTGGTGAATATCAAATTGATAATCAATCAAAACGAACACTTGAAATTGGACTTCAACAAGCATTTCAAGTAAGTTTAAAATGAAAAACTTTTATTTTATTTATTCTTATAAGTAAAAAGGACATTTTATTCTTCTCGTTGGAAAAAAATTTTTTTTTCTTTTCGAATTTTTTGCATTCATTTACTATTAGCTTATTAACTGTTAATTTTTCCAGAAAAAAGGAACTAATTATCATTTCAAACATGCCATTCATGCTATTAGTACTGCTTTTAACAAAATCGATTTCCAAATACTTTCTAATCGTACTGGAAATAACATAAAGAATTTATTGGAAGCAACTTATTTTGGAAAAAAATTGCTAGCAAATTTAGATGTAACACGTGGTGCAAATAATATTTACACTGCTATTGGAATGGTAATCATTTTATTTACTTAATTTAATTCTTTTTGTAAAAGATAGATAAATTAGATTTAAATTAGATTTATTTCTGCAAGATACATTAATTGAAAATTTATTTTACAAGTTTCATAGCTATACATTAAGGAAATTGAAATATGAAATAAAAAACATTGTATGAAAAAAAAAATAAATTTAGGTAAAATGTGATCAATTTGATATCGATACAAAAGCAAATATTATTTATCAAAATCGTTTCCCACTGCAATTTATGTTAAAAATTGATGTTGAAGCACCAAAAATAATACAAAATATTCACGCTTCAGCAGAATATGCCGTGAAGGTTTTTCGCTTTTCGTTCTTTTTTTTTTGAATTTATTATCTTTAAATTTGTTATTTTTGAATTCATTATTTTCTTGAATTCATTAATGATAAAGTCATCATAAAATTATGAAACGGTAGCATTCTTTTCATTCCTTTTTAGGTGGATCCAAAATGGAATTTTAAAGGAAATATTCTGCTCCGCCATCCCAATCGTGAAATAACTTTGAGAAAGGAAATTGATGAAGTGACCGCTGGACAGTACAAAATGGAAACATATTTACAATGGGATCCAAATGGTAGAATAAATGCAATATCTGATGTTATATTTCGTCCACGCGTAAGTTATGGCATTGAAAAATTCTTTTAATTATAATTTCATTAATAAAATTACTTTTATCAATCATAATTATATAAATTGTATGCAACTATAATTATAAAAGGATATTTATTAATTTGAAAATTCAAATCAAAAGCGGAATTTTATTTTATATTGGTTGTAAAATTCAAATTAAAAAAATTAAAAACGGAAATGTGTAGTAAAGGATTGTTGCACTGCTATAGGAAAACGAATATACTATTGAATCGATGGCTAATATTGCCGGTATAAATGAACCAATAAATATCAGAAAACATGTCAAATATCAATTTGATAATTACAAGTGAGAGAAATGCTATTGCTATTTATATTATCATTTTTTTTTTCAGTTCTCTGATAATATTTTCAAATAGCTTATACTTCATAATTGATTTATTTTAACTCAATTCCTTTTTACAGTATACAATGGCATGCAAAACAAGGTGGCCGAACGATATATGAATTAAATGCTAATCTTATTGGACATTTTGGTGAAAAGCAACAACTCAATTTCAATATTAATTCTGACAAATTTGAACCACGAATCAATTATTATGTGGTAAAATAATGGAAAAAAAAAGAAAAGATGAAAAAAATAATTTAAAAAAATTTAAAAAAAAATTCTTTTTATTTTTTAGACAGTTGAATTTCAACCATCAATGGATAGTGTAACAATGATTGCTACGATACGTAAAGATGGACAACATTTTGGTACAGGTAATATTATAGTACCGAAAAAATTCAATCTTCCTAATCAACAGTATCGTGGAGAATTCAGTTGGATTTATCAAGCTGTATGCTTAACAATTATTTTTTCTTTTGTTGATAATTGTTTAAAATATTTTCAAATGAAATAAATTAGGATATTTTATCATAATATGATATGATAATGATGTAATAGTTCCTACTAGAAGAATCTTTCATTTACAAAAAAAAAAGAGCATTGATGAATTATGTTTGTTAATTACTTCAAGATTAGCTAAATGTACTAGCTAGATTAAAGTGATAAAAATTTCTTGAGCAATAAGATATTTGATAGGATAATTTTCGTTTATACATGATTGTATCACTGGAAATTTAAAAGTGTTAAATTAATTAAAATTATGATGATAATACTTTAATTCAAATGACGATAATATATTAAGAATTTTTTCTTTTAGAAACCACGAAAGATAGCGATTGAGTACAAGCAATTAAAGCATACATACGGTTCATTTCATGCCGTAAAAATAGAATCGGATGATAAGCTTAATCTAAACATGCAATTCGATCATCAAAATGATAAGACAATTCTTAAATGGTTTAGTATCAATTTTTGAAACGTTTATTTTGTTTATTTCATAATAATGTGCAATATTTTCAGGTAACAAGTCCGTAAAGCTTTTAAATATTCGTTTTGTCTTTTTTTTATTTTTATCTTTCATTTTTATCAATATTCATATATCATTGCTAAAATAATGGTGAATTAAAAAATACAATTTTCAAAGATTTATAATAATTGGAATTATTTTTTTTTTTGAAAAAAAAATATCCTCAGGCTATTTTATTTATATACACCGATAATGAGGATGAATGTTTGAATTTAATTCATTATCTTGCAATTATATTGCAGTGATTTGGATAAAGATCGTATTCGAACTATTTCAATGATGCTCACTACAACTCCTTTCCGTTGGGATTTCTTTGAAATTGATGGTCATTTCAGTACTGACACACCTCTGCAACAACGCTCAATTAGAACGAAAGCAGCATTTCTTTATCGAATAGATCAGGTAATAAGTTCGGCATATTTGAGCAATTAAAATTAAAATATATTTTTAAAATCTGTAAAGTTTTATGCGTAAGATGAGTTTTCGAATTCTGTTGTGACTTTAATGCTCACAATAGGATTACCTTTTTTTTTTTTTATTCATTATTATTTATTGGATTCGGTTTTATTTGAATAGTTAAAATTAAAATATATTTTTACATTTAAAAATCCGTAAAATTAAAAATTGTAAAAAATTATAAGATGAGTTATTGAATTCTATATAACTTTAATGCTTACAAATAGGATTACTTTTTTTTTTATTCATTATTACTTATTCGATGATAAAATGGATTCTTCGGAAATTGAATCATACTATTATAGCTACAATTTTCCCTTCCAATATATTCTGTTTTACTTTTCAGACAAATATTGAAGGATTATTTGAAGCAAATAATAAACGTTACGCTCTTGAATGTCATTGGCGTAAAGCATTTTATGATATTGGTAGACATTATATTTATGCTGGCAAATTTGAAACACCACAAGTTATTATTCATTATATTTTTCATCTTTTGCTTAATGTAAATAAATTTTTTCTTTTCGGATCATTAAGCGATACGAGGAGATAAGTATTTAGTGATAAATACTCTTCCTGCTTTACTTTAATGATATATCCGGTATTTTTGAATTACATTACTTATCTAGCTTTCCTATGATGTATCTGACTAATACTTGCCTGGCTTTTTTATGGTACATTGGATTAGCTGGCTTTTCTGCGATACATTCGGCTCCATTATTTATCTAGCTTTCCTTTGATACATCCAGCTACATCACTTACCCGGTTTTCTTATGATAATCCGAAAATACTTACTTGGCTCTCCTGTAATAGTCAGGCTACATTATCCATTTGTCTTTCTTGTAATAATCCAGTATTTGGTTACATCACTTACCGTCACATTACTTGGCTTTTTTATAATATATCCGGCTACAATACTTACCTGGCTCTCTAGAAATGTTATTAAATTATTATTCATCACAAATATCTTTTTTTAACATCCAATTCTGAGGTTAAAAAACGGAGAAAGAAAAAGTAACATTAATTTCTTTTTTTTTTTTTTTTTTTTGCAGGATCGAGTAAACTTAGAGCAACAGTTACAAGTGGAAAATGTTTTTACAATACGAAAAGCAAAAACAATTTTTGAGTATTTCGTTGCTGAACAAACATTTAATCTAACAAACGAGATTGAGTACAATAATGATGCATCCTTCAGCACTGCTACCAATGTTATTGTAAATTTTGCAAATTTAAAAATAACTATTTAAATTTTTATCGTTTGGAATGATTGGATAAGGAAATTAATAGAAATTATTTCATAAATTGGTAGAATTACTGGCAATAAATAGAATACCATTAATGCAACTGTAAGATAGTCGTTGTCAATGCAGTTATATTACAGATGAATAAGATTAAGTGGTGATAAAGAGACCTGTAACTTTACTGATAGTATTTACTGGTAAAATACATAAGTAAAAGAAATAGTTATCGAAAAAATTTTTGATTAAATTTTCAATAAAAAAAAAGTTTATTTTCATCACTTTTTTATCAGAAATAATATTGTTATTAAAAAATTTTAATTTTTAGGGAAATAGAATAATGCTGAAACATACGATGGCATATGATCATAAAAATGGACAAAGAATATTGAAGAAGCATTTGAAATACAATGAAAAAGAGATAAACATTGATGCAGTAACAATTTACCGTGATGGAGAAGTTAAAATAGACATTAGCGCTTCATCGACATTTGAAATGATTCAATATGGCAAGGTAAAAAAAAAAAAGTTTCTTGCAAATTTTAAATAATAATCATAATTCGAGCTATTTAATGATAACTTATGAAATAATTCATTTATGAACTGTTTATTGATTATCGTTACTATTATTAATAATTTAATAGGGTAAATGAGCTAAAATTAAACGAAGATTTAAAGATAAATTGCATTATTAATAAGTGATAAATGCTACTGAACTATATGTATGCATCGTTATATGTTGAGAAGTAATATACATTATGTGACTTATCAAATACAATAAAGCATTTCCGATAATTCTTTAAATATTTCAGATTATGTTTGATTGTCGAAAAGGCAATACTTTTTGGAATTGTGATGCGGAAAGTAATATAAACAATCAATATGTAATTAAAGGACATGAAATGTTATCATCACAAAATACTGACATCGGTTATTTGGTGAAATTAGGAAATGTAATGAATAACGAAGGAAAAATTCGATTTAACATTGATAATGTTAATTTTAATGCATATTTCATTTTTATTTTATGCATATTTTTTATTCATTTATTCATTTCATTGCACTCATGATGACATAAAATTAGTTATAATTAATTATAATTAGTTATAAATAGAGTTCAAATTTTTGAATTAAAATAAAGACAAAGAAAAATATATTTAGCAAGCTTTAAAATACAATGCTAATGCTATGTTGCGACGTGGCGAAAGTGTTTATAACCTAGAAATGGACGTGAATGATAATAGAGGTATTGTAAAATTGCAAACACCAACGCATGCAATCAACAACACACAAGTAAAATTTTTCATTAAATTAAATTTTAAAAATTGTTAATACTCTCTGTTCCTCTTTCAAAGTTTTTTTTTTAAATTTTTTAACTTATTAGCATTGTCAATAAGAGTATCCAAGATTTTGTCACTTAAAAATTTTACCTAAAATTGGAATATATTATAATAATCGTTGTATTATTCACCTTCTGGAAAAAAGTAAACAATAAAATGGTAAGGTTATTTTGATTTCCAAATCTTTATTTATTATTGTATGACAAAATCTTCATAGCATATTTGAAAGACATATTTAAAAATAGCATATTTGAAATACTATTTGAAATATAAAATCTTCATAGCATATTTGAAATACATATTTGAGATAGTACTATGCTTCGTTGCGGTTCAGTTTCTTTTTTTAACAAAACTATCATTGGAATTCAGAATTTGAAGTTTTTAAAATTACAAAATTTAGTAATGTATTCATATCATTTGCTTTTTTTAACTTTTCCAGGTCAGAATAATACGAAAAGGACGTACTGAATTCGAGATAAGTACTGAAGGTGGAAGTGGAGGAAGAATATATGCTCATGTTAAAACAGGTGATTACGACAAATTGTTGAAGATACAGGTAAATCGATTACATTCCAATTTATTTCGTTAAAAAATGACCAAATCAAAAAATACTACGATTTAATCAATTTGATTATTTTTCTTCTAAGAAATTATTCGTTTTATTTTGTTATAATTATTGACAAAAATTCAAATTACATTTTTCATTTGCTCGAAACGAACAAAAACTTTTTAATGTTATCAATCATTATCAATTTATAATTTTTATCTCAGTAAATTACTTGTTTAGATAACAGAAATGCCGGAACCGTTCCAGATAAATTTGGAAAATAGTTTAATTGGTGATAAGCAAAAATTAATTGCCGAATTAATGTTAGATCCTCTCGGACAGAAAAGGGTAAGTAAATTTGTAAAATGATTTTCTTGCTAAAAATTATGCAAATATTTACTACCACTGAATGAATGGATAGTATCAGTAATTTCAAATTTTTTTGTTTAGACTTATGGTGTAGAAAATGAAATCGAAGGTGAAGGCGAAACATTCCGTGCCTTACGATTAACCTTAAAACAACCGAGAAGAGAAATAAATATTGGAATACTTCGACCGTCACAAAACAAATATGCTTTATCAATACAGTGCGTATTTATATTTTGTAATACAATAGAGGGAAGTTGCATTCTTGAATAGAAATGTTAAATATCATTTAATTTTAGGAGAATTTTAAAATTTTTTTAAGTTAAAAAAAAAACGATAATAAATATTAAAGACCAAATGTTGGCGGAAAAAGACATCCAACCGTTGCTGAAATGACATATCAAAAGATAACTGATGGTTATCAATGGGAAGGAAGCATTTCGGATCAAGCATTGAAGGCACCACTGAAAGCAAAAATAATGTACAGGAAGGTTGAGCGAGATAAATACAATTATCGATTGGATTTGCAAACTGAAGTATGATAAATTTTATTTAAAAAAAAAATTAGAGATAAACTCACAGAATGAACAACAGTTTGAAAAAATGATAAATTTGAAATGAATTTTAATATACAACTAATATAATATCAATACTCTACTACTATTATCAGTAATTAATTTATTACAGTTTGCGTACAGTAATGAACCGAATAAATTATTCACCAATTCATTACATTTACATCGAAGTATTATCACATCAGAGCGAATTATCAGAAAACGAGCTATTACGAGATATGATGAAAGACAAAATGATAATGCACGATTTATTATTGAATTGAAAAGTATCCATTTGGCAAGGTAAGTAATTACTACATTCATTTCCAATATATGGAAAAATTTTTTCCCTTCCAATTTATTACTATTTTTAACAATTAAAACGGTAGAAAAGTCAATAATTCGAGGAAAAAAAACAATAATGAAATGTTTATGAATTTTGTTTTAATGCTTAAAATATATTTTGGATTTAAATGTAGAAAAATGAGTTAATGAAATTGTTAATTTACTTTAATTATAACTTGAAACAATTTATATCTGGTCGAAAAAACAAAAGTTTACTCCATTCTGAGAATTATGGAATTATTAATTTACAAATTTTAGAGAAAATTTTTTCGATTTTTTTAGGCGATTAAAGCTAGTAACACAAAAGAAGTTTTGAAATATAAAAAATTCAATAAAATACTATTTTTCTCTCTTTATTTTATAATAATGAAAATAATTTTTTATGATAATGAAAGTATTTTTGAAAACAAATATATTCATATATCAGAAATTGATTTACATTCAAAATTTACATATATGAAGAGATACTTTTGTTTGTTACTTTGCTCGTAACATATATATATAAAGTTAATTAAATGATAAAAATTAATTACTATTAATTAGAATGTCTTATCTTATCTGTAATTTGGATTCATTCATTTCTTCTTATTCGTCTTCTGAGTCGTAAATTTATTCGTTTTACTCTAAGATCGTATTTTATTCTAAATTTCATGGTTTTGCAAAAAAACAGTCTACAAAATTGACAGAACTATTGAGTGTAACATTACGTTTACAAATTATCATTTTAATATTTCATATGTTAAATTTAATTTTGAAAAAAACAATGAAAATTAAATTTTTATTGCAATTTTTTTTATTAGCAATCTCAATACTCGTTTATGGACTAAAATTGATCGACGCATCATTGGAAATGCTGCAATTCCCATTCATGCAACTTTCGGTTTGGAAACTAAAAATTTGCAACATCAACCGGTGGAATATTCATTGGAGACGAAGACGGATGCAATCAAATTTACGGAAATTCAACTGAAATCACCGAATTCAATATTGAAAGCAAGAATTAATAAAATAAACGATAAAAATTATAGAATTGAATTTTATGAGGTGATTTTTCTCCTCCAATATTCCATTCGATTTTGTATTGTTTGATAAAGTTTTCGGAATTATAAAATATAAGCATAATTTTGTGCTGATTAATTAAGTAGCCAAGTAAGTCATGGATATTTAATGAAATCATTTATCATGAACGGACCAAAATTTGATAATTACCATTTTGAAATTTTTTAAAGATTCTTTGTTATTTCTGTTTCCTTTTATGTTAAGCCTTTGAAATTTTCAGCTGATATTTTTTTAATGATATTTGTTTTTCTCAAATCTCATATCATTGAACAATTCATTAATTATTCATCGTATTGAATTAGTTGAGGTGTATTTTCTTTTTTTTTTTTCTTTTATGAAAATTTCATACAGAAATTTTTTTAGAATAATGAACGACCAACTGTTGTTGGTGAATTGAATTTACACGATAATGGAGCAATATTTGAATATCGTAATGGAAAATCACATGAAATTAAATTGCATGCATCAATTCAAAAGCTTAATGATTATGAAGAAAAAATTGATGTATGGCATAGTGAGGCGGGAAAGAAAATACAAGATGCTCGTTTATCCTTACAAGTAAAAAGTTTTAAATGAAACATTTCTATCTCATTTCAAATACGTCATACACGTGACACGCGTAAAATAATTAGAAGTAATAATGATAATGTTATATCTATGTTTACTCATATTATTATATCATTATT